ACAACAGAGGGGAGCAATTTTAAGAAAAAAACGCCTATAATTATTTCAATGGGTTGTAACTCTGAAAATAATGTGAATTTTTCAAAAATCGTAGTTGAGTCTCTGTAAAGATGTCTGAGCTATATACAGGCAAAATATTATTATAATAGAAGCATTTTTCACAAAAGTAAAACATTTTGAAAAAATATTATTCTAAGTTAATTTTTTGCCAAAATATTATATTTAAATAATTTTTTTTTTTTGTCAAAATGTTCTTAAAACAATTTTAAACATGTAGTCTAATCTAAGCGACACTAAATATCATGGAAATTATCCATTTATGCGCTTTTTTAAAATCACAGTTCCGAACGTAGTCGGATACCTTAAACCGTACTTGGTTCGAATTCGCACCATTCTATAAATAACATAAAGACTGTTAACGACAACCCTCCTAACTTAAACTGTCGGATCGAAAAAATGACACCTATACCGGTATTTCATCTGCTAACTTCCACACCAAAACATATAAGGACTAGAAAGTTAATTAAATGTTACATGTACCAGTCCCATCATTTTGCACGATGTGTCTTTGGAGGTTGATTAACTGCTTAATTGACGCCTCACTTTGAAGTAACACGAAGGTGTTTTAGGAGAAACACCTCACAATTATGAATCACGGTCAAGTTGTAGCGGGATATGCGAGGTTCTATCTTAAGGTATCCGACTGCCCTAAAATCATGATTTTTTTCAAAAATTGACAAATTTGTTTTATGATTTTATTTTATAGACCATCTCATTAGCTTAATAAAAATACCAAGCTTTGTGTTTTCCATTCACTAGAACAAGAACTACAAGAGTTTTAACTAAAGAAGATGCCATAACTTTACACAAGATGTCAAACTTTAAAATGCATTTTACTCGAAATGTGTTTTTTTTTTTTCGAAAAACTCAAACGCGGACAGCGATTGCTCAAAACGTTTTGAAAATAATTTAATGAAACTTTTTGTAAATGTTTTGTATAACAGTAGAAGTGTTTTGTTCTTCAGATTTATCAATCACTGTATTATTTCAAAATTTACAGTCCTTTATGTGAATATAATCACTGTTTTTTAAGCAATTTCATATAGTCACTAAGATAGAGGGTTCTAGTTTTTTGTAAAAAAATTAAAATATCTATTATCCTTAAAGTCATTTCAAACATGAATAATAAAGTAACACATTAAAACTGAAAAATTGAGAATTTGTTCGAAAAGTTTTTGTACAGAGTGGGCCCCGTTTATGTAATTTTTTGTACATTTTTACCAGTTTTTTCCCGTTTTAATAATAATAAATTTTTTTCTGCTTTCAATTTTGCGATTTTTTGCTTAAAATATACTAAATAAACCTAAAAATCACAAAAAAATCCCCATATCCATTTTTTTCAAAAAACAGTTGTCGCAAGTAGTCGGATACCTTAAGCTAACATGGTGAAATATTCCTTAAATTTTTACTTAGAGTTTAACTGCCACCTCCCTGCAGCGGATTAAGCAAATTAATTCTAATATATACAAGTAGTTTTATTTTAGTTAATTTTTATCAAATAGTTACAATTAATATAAATATGTACATACATATGACAGAATCACAATATTAAGTGACAAAATAGATAGCTATTTTCCTTGCAATTTTCCATTTTCCTTTCTATATAGGGTGTTGGACTATTTTTTGTTTGTTTATATATTACTATTTATTCATTAATTAAATTTAATTATTACAATAAAATAGAATAATAAAAGAGAAATCACATTCTCAGAAATTAGGCCATCCCAGGTAGAATTCGAACCCACGATCTTTGGATTAGAAGTCCAACGCGCTATCTATTGCGCTACAGGGATACAAGGAACAATCTTCCTTTCTATATATGCTGTTGGACTATTATTTTTATTTGTAACTATTTATTCATTTTTTAATTTAGTTAATGAATTAATATTCGAAAAAACTGTATTAACATCAAGTATCATCCACTACAAGTTTTAAAAAATGTATTTGAACTTGAATGGATGAATATAAAGTATTTTATTAACGATTAAAAATTTGAACAATATATATATATATATATATATATATATAGGGAGAGAGTGAACTAATAGTAGAGGAACTGAAAAAATAAGAGAGAGAGGAATGTGGAATTAAATAGCTGTTAGTTAGATGAGAAAATAGTGATTATATAGCAGTTCGGAGATTTTTTTTCACTTCGAAAAATTCAGCAACTAGTTAGATATCCGTTGCCTAATCCTAGGCATGTATTAGCTTTGGAAGTGCAAACCATTTTTAGAAACTTCTTGGGAAAGGCTTATTGATCGTTGATTCTGAGACACGACGTAATCTCTCATTTTATCCTCTGGAAACATTTCCGATGCATTAAATTTGGATTATTTTAAGTATCTAACTACGTTGGGAACTATAATTTTGCAAAAACGTATAAATGAATAATTTTTTTTTTTGATATTTAGTGTCACTTGAATGTGAATATACATAAAAAAATTGTTTTAAAAATATTATTACCGTAAAAATTAAAAAAATTAATTTTTTTAGCAAAAAATGGAGAAAAAAAAAATGACATATTTTCAAAACATTCTATTTTTATGGAAAATGCTTCTATAATAATAATATGTTGTTCTTGTTATTAATGCCACCTGATCGGCTAAGGCCCACAAAATTCATCATGGCAAAGTGCTAAGTGACTCCTGTCGTTATCTGTAGCTTTGAGCACCATACAGGTGACAGAATGATTTTAGATCGGTTTCACCCCAATTTTGAGGGAGAACACCCTGGGGATGATCAGAGGCCTCCCACCTCTCTTCCCCTTCAATCAACCTCAACTTGCGGCTCGACGGCTATTTAAAGCATCCCCATGGCGCGAAGGCACTATACATTTACAAACATCCATGTCTTCTCCGAGATTCGAACCCAGGCCCAACGGCACAGCCGTCAGCGTCGCGAACCACTATATCGGATGGGCAACTAATAATAATATTTTGCCTATATATAGACAAGACTTCAATACAGAGCCTGAAGAAGGATTTTTGAAATGTATAGTTTGGACGTTGATTTATAATTATATTTTAATATATCAGAGCAGAGAAACTTATACGAAAAAACATCAATTATTATTTCAATTGATAGTAACTCTAAAAATTATGTGAATGTTTCAAAAATCCTAGTTCAGGCTCTCAAGAGAAGTCTTAACTATATGTAGGCAAAATATTATTATTATAGAAGCATTTTCCATAAAAAGCGAATGTTTTGAAAATATGTCATTTTTTCTTCATTTTTTTTGCCAAAAAATTGCATTTAGAAAAAATTTAATGGCAATAATATTTTAACCCTTTATCTACCGATGGTACTTATAAATACCACTCACTTTAAAATTATATAGAATAACCATTTTTACGAATATTCTGACGATACTTAGCAGGAATATTCTTTGAAATCCACTCTTCCAAGATATAGGGCAGCACGGGTTCTATGATGAGTATTTTAGCGGGGAAGGCGAATAGTTTTATAGCAGAAATTGCGTTTTCAGCGGATTGCGAAGATTATCATTTTTGTCCCGAAAAAATAGTTAATATCAAAATTTAAGTGTCTTACTTTTTTTTGTACGTTACTGAAGACCTTAGAAAACGATTTGACTATTTATTTTAAGTGATCAGTGTATATAATTAACTTTACAGTTGAATATCTTTAATTAATTAATTAGCTTTAACCGATTAAATTTCCCAAAATTGAGTATTTCGTCTATGTATATCCCTTAATTTTGAATGTAGTGATCCAAAAAAAAAAAATATTGCATGAAAAAAACTGCAGTAAATCATAATGCGGTAGATAAAGGGTTAAACAATCTTTTACATATATTCTTATTCAGGTGACACTAAATATCAAAAAAAATTATCCATTTATACACTTCAAAAAAAAATCATGGTTCCAAACGTAATCAGTAACTTTAAGCATCAGTTGATCTTCCACGTAACTCTTAAATAGGAACAGTTATTGTAATGAAATCTTTATCTTGATTATTTGTGTTTGTGTCTCCTGGTGTGTGTTTTGTGTCATGAACATTGTTCCTATTGTTTAGTCAGACTTGAATACGTGACCCTAGTAGTTAAAGAGTCAGACTTTTGGAAGACCGTTACAAAGTAATGAGGATGACGACACTTAAGCTGGCAATTAATTCTCCTAACTTCCATCCCACGCTAACGTGAGAGCTTTTGTCTTTTTGGAAGTATCATGACAAGACTCAAATGGTATCGGTATCGAAATTTGCAATCTTAACTACTGTGCTATCGTTTGCCTCTTGAAACAATTCATTGTGCCAAGATATTTAATAGTTTAAAGTATTTATTAATGCCGATTGAAAATAGAAAAATATTCTCGTTTTACGTCTTTTTTATGCATTCATGTTTTAAAAGACATCTGACATTTGAGCTTTAAATATACATTAGCTTTGTAAACATTTCTTTGAGCTCTAATAGTTAACTTAGTAACAATAAAAGAAAACAGGCGCGTGGGTGTGTGTTTGGGGATCTATTAACTATTGCACCTGATCATTAATATATACATACATAATTGATTTTATAGAATCTAAAATGATTTTTAGTTAATAGTTTATACTATCGTTATCTATTTATCAATCAATATCATTATTTAGTGTTACAGAGTCAATAAGGTAAGTTAAAAGAGATTGGTCTCTCCATTAAAGCTTAGTACTGAGATTCCACATCTGAAGCATTTTCGATAAGGCACACGCATAAAAACGAACAATGGGGACACTTTTCGATCAATCGCTGATAAAATTGCCCCAGGGAAAGAGCACTTCACGTTTTAGAAGAGAGTGATAATACGTTTCTCTGCTCAAGGGCTGGGTATAAGCATTAAAATTAAAGAATAAGAATATTATACAGACATGTTTACTTTGCTTATATTATAGAAAACGATTTTTTATTCTATACATCATAGAAAATTCATTTCTCAATAGATTATAGAAAAAAGCAATTTGAAATAATTGTTCACATTCTTAGACACCACGTTTTGAGGCTGTTCATGCAGCATTCCACAAACTTTGAACATATTTTTGGAAGGAAAATTTCTTCAATATTGATAGTAGCTCGTTTGTACATCCATTATGCATCCTGAAAATTTCGAAACAATTTATAAATAATCTAGTTTTAATTTAACAAGAAAAATATAATTTCAGTTTAACATTTAAGTATAGGAATTGAAGAATGGAATGTATTTTCTTCTAGAAAAAATTTATTGATTCAGAGAAAAATGTGTAAATATGAAGGCGAATTGAATGTAAATGAAATCGCTCTAAAGATCCTTTCTGAAGTATTATTTACCAAAAGTACGCCATTTTTTTTTCATGTATTCTCTTTTAAGATCTATTCATTTTTCAAAGTAGGGCTTCTTTATTCCTGTGTAATAAAAAGACATCGGGTGCGTATGAAGCCAATTACTTACAAACTGCTTTACTTCTCCTATTCTTTCTCCTTTTACCGCTTCTTTGAGATGTCTAAAGAAATGATAGTCAGAATGTGTGAAGTCCGAACTATAGAGAGAATTTTCCAGAGTTGTCCCGGGGAATTTCTATATGTATCTATATATATATATCTGTCTCCCTTTTTATGAACCTACTTCAAATCGAAGGAGATTGCTACAAGATAATTGCTCCAAAGGGGCCTTAAGACATTGGTTGACTGATGATGTTCGTTATAATTTCTGTTGACCATAGCTATGTCTGAATGCAAAGATTATTCATACATTTGTCGGAAATGTTTCAACACATTTTAATCGTTTATAAAGAGAAAAATTATGAAGATGTGCAGAACTTTTAGTAACATAAATGCATAAATAAATTTTAAAAGATTCATTACTTTTCTTATCCATCAGCTCTACTGGATCAATTAGGTTTGAACGTCTGTAGACATGTGCTAATTTTGAGCTATTGACACAAAATGAAAAATTAATCTTACAATACCGGTTTTGAATGAAAATTAGTAGTTTTTAACATAATGTCGGAAAATATTATAATAGGGGACGGTTAGCATCAGTTGTTACTTATATAATGTGACTTATATTTACTTCGTAGAAATTTCTGAGCACAACATGTCTACATGAAGTATTAAGTTTGCGAGCTTCGAACTAATCCTCTTAAGAAATCTTTGGGCTATCAATTCGCGTTATTCACAACCAACCCTTCGGAAAAAAAGAATGTGGTATGCAAATTAACTTACTATAAATATGCGAGGTTTTCTAGCTTGAGATATAGAATATGCTCGAGACAGGTGAGATTGATGTTAAAGGTATAAATATTAGAATTATAGAGCCTTGATTATTATTAGAAGGAAACCTTAAAGTGAGGATTGTTCACTAAGATTGAATTAAGATTAGATTAAATCAGATAATAGGTTAGATCCTGAATTAAAAGAAGGATCAAGTTTGCTAGTCGCCTAATCGCTTACGTGTTACTGTCGTTGTTCCACTTTCACGATTTTCATTTGGACATTCTCTTATTATTATAAGGTGAAATTGTGTCTGTTCTTAGTTTTGAAATAAATAGATTAGATTTGAATCATGTCGAGTGCTTCTTTCCTTCCCCCACACATCTAGATGCTCGCGAGAGAGGCACGGGCCTCTTACAAGTATCAAAATATAAAATATAAATGCAAATAATGAATTTTAGCTTAGCACATAATTCAGCAAAAAAAAAATATTGCACCAGTTTTCAATCTTTTGTGTGTACCCTCAAATATATTAACATATGATTCCTATTTTTTAAAAAATGACTATTCTTGAGGTAAAAAATAAATTCAGGAATAACATTATTTAAAATTAG